TTTGAGCGACTGAGACGTTGCCGTTTCTCAAGACGTTTCTATACCTATATCTCGTACTATATATTCAGGAATTCTGTATTGACTACATAATGCGAGACATAATGACACCTCTAGTGATACTCTATTTTTGCTACTTACACAAGTAGTATAGATGCTGAGAGCAACTCTTGCCGTTAAGACAGTTGGGCGCAAGATGTCAGTTTTAAATATTCCTAGCGAAGATGTACGATGATAGCCGAGTCATGTTACCATTCACATGCCCTATATTAACAATTCGATAAACAACCTGCATAACTGAAATCGCAATGATGAAAACAACAACAACGAAGAATCAACATGGGATCTGACAAATATTAGGAAAAAGTATAGCCTTATAATAGCAAATTGTAACTTATACCTACTGAGGAAGGAGTCATAAGTATCTTGTCCTGGACGAGTTGAACAACTTTGTTTACTGATCTCATGCTCACAGACTACTGATACCATTATCATTTAGGTAAGTAATTAATGATAATAATGAAAATAATAATAGTGCAGTGAATGTCAATGTCAATGCCAGTGAAATTGAAGAAATAAATTTGAGAAGCAAATAGAATGTGATGAAACGATATTTTGAAAGAAAATAATATCATCTCTGTTGACCAGGTTATAAAATGTCACTTCTCATAAATTACTTTTTTCCCGGATATATATATACACTATTGATGACTTTCTGTTGTGCTATTTTCGAAAAATAAGCCAATAACACCGTCTCCATTCCGCATCACAGATACGTAAATTACTGAACAACCACTAAGTCCGCAATTTTTCGAAATTAAATCACAAAATTAGTCAGATATTTGATTAGGTACTTCAAAAGAATGATAAAGATGGCTGCAACACAGGTGTAATTTCTGTTAAAAACTTCAAATTTCACGTCGATGATTTTCTGATTTTAATATAATGTAATATCTTCTCAATATTGATTCGTCCTTTCCTCTGTCACAGAAAATAATAGTGTACCTATTATACACAGGAAAATATTAGATTTTAGCTCACGGTTTTTTGTCTCAACACAACCTCGAGTTTAAATCTACAACTTTTTTCCCTTGAAGAATAAATAACTACAACTTTTTTCCCTTGAAGAATAAATAACTATTATTGCCCATCTTCCTCGGTTATCGATAAGAGGAGGTTGGTACCTTCATAAATGGAAGTTTCAACTTTTTGTTAGAATAATAATTTGAAGATTAATAGCTTGGGGCTAAGCAATCAAGAAAAACGAATCGATCAGAATTGAATCAATTCATCATGAACCTATTAACTGAGATTAACAGTGATTCATTCATCACTATTATATAGGTACATCCACAACCGAGGGTACAACAGAGGTCACATCAATATCATCAGGATATAAGTGTCCGATTATTTTCACATTACACAAAAAATTGATTTTAGTGCATGTGACAGTGAATGAAAATATCGTAGACAGAAATGTTGAATGACTGATTTCAAAACAACATTGAGCCGTCATCGGAAGGCGAATAACAATACATAATAATGGTTGTAATGAGAGGTTTTCCAACAAGCTTGACTATACCTAGCGACAGATAGTCTAGAAAGCTATGAAACCGACAATCAATGTTGAGATAAGAAAACCGCACACGACTGATAATGAGAACCGAGATAAATACTCAGTAAATAGATCGTCATTTCTATTTTCGTTATTCAAACTGCAAATATAGGAATCAATATATCTCGATTGAAAACTATAACAACTTACACGCAGCCGCATGCAAGTTCTCAAGAGAAAAATGTGAAGATTTTTTTCTGAAACCCACCGAATTTAAGGTAAAAAACCAACCACAAAATTCCTTGTGAGAATTCGAGAAGCAAATGGTGAATACCACCGGGGTATACTACTTGTCTGACCCACATCAAAATACCGGAGACCCACCTACCTACCTATCTACCGAGCTATCTACCTCTACCTGTCTGTGGGAACAGGCAGTTGTGATTTAATTTTTTTTTTATCGAAAGGTATCCACCAAATTATCGGGTATCATCGAGATCGAACCTGACCGTTTCAATTAATAAATCATTACGGCCATTTCAAGGTTTCCTACACACGTACCCATATCAACAGGTCACTAAACATTATTTTTCACCTGTTGCAACAAATCTCATTTTCAAGACTATCAGTTCATTGCAAATGTGCAATGATTTCGAGCATGTGTTCAAACATACAATGAAAGAAACGGAGATACATACACATAGGTAGGTACCTACATGACACAATTTCAAGGTCTTGCCAATGGAAAATTACATGTGCAACTGATGCAACTGGATCGATGTAGGTACTAGGTATTAACTTAGCATCAATCGTAGTCCGTAGTCGAGTCCGTAGTTTACTGTTTAAATCACATTTGTTGGTGAGAAACGCGAACTTGACTTTGTAAAAGACGAGATTGATGATTAACATGAGAGTAATAACGTCTTGCGAGTTTGGCAAGACGTATCTTGGTCAACTATTCGGGTCTTGTTTTGGCATTTCAAACAGGAACTGTGCCAAATGCAAAATAAATAAAGCATTGGTAGGTCAGTTCGAGCGTATTCAACAGATGCCTGCATCCTGCATAGAACTTTCAAGAAACCATCTCCAATTTACATCGAATCTACAGGGAGTAAGCAGGGGGAGAAATTTCCTTTCGATTTTTCTTATCGAAAGAGAGGAAATAGCTTCGGTCCGCATTTCCCTCGCATCTCGCCGTGCGAAAAATTGGAAAAAGAGAGCTCAATACTCCACGAATACACAGGTAGCGGGAGAAAATTGGTGGAGGAAAGCGAAGGTATATTTAAAGTTCCGACAAAATGGATTATTCGATGAATCTTCTTTGATATTGCCTCTTCTTGATATACCATACGATATTGCGATGGCAATTTTCAATTAGATTCCTATTTCCGTAGAGACTTCAAAGGATATCGCCAATCTATCGGACTCGAGTTCAATATTTTGATCTCTCTTTTCCTCAATAAAACAGGTAGGTATATTGGAAATTGTCTGTCTAAGGTATAGTTGTACATATTCAAACCTATGAACTGACTTTAAGTAGTAATCAAATGATTGCTAATCCCGAGTATAATCCTTTTCATAAGAAATCGAGGATTTAAGATTATACAAGAGGAACTTATCCGAAATTCAAGATATTGATATGCCATATGATATTGCGATGGCAATTTTCAGATTCCTATTTCCGTAGAGACTTCAAAACGAGCTTCAAAGTATATAGCCAATCTATGGGACTTGAGTTCAATATTTTAATTTCTCTTCCCCTCAATAAAACAGGTAGATATATTGGAATTAATATTACATCTCGTATCACATAGAGAAGTTCGAGGAGAACAACTAATTACGCGAATATGTTTGTGAGACTAGCACTTTCCCGTTGCTTGTCAAACCTATCAGACTGTTGTTAAATAAAATCCATATCTACCTACCTAACTGAGTTTGCTGAAAACCAATTCCTTCCTCTTCACTAAAATGATGAATGAGCACCTATTTAATAATTACATTTATATCTTCTTATGAATAAGTTGTTTGCCTCTATATGATGGTACAAAGTTCTTGGCACACAGGCTCCCTAATAATTCAGCAAAGTTTCCCATTCAGCTAAGGGTGCACATTAGAACTTGGAAAATAACACACAATTTTATGAAGGAAGTTCGCCGTAAATGTGTTTTTTCTTCGCCGTGGAGAGCATTTATCTACCCTGTTTATCTCCAACCAGGAAGTCGCGTAGGCATTTTAATACACTCTTTGCAGCCGTATATACAAAGTAGCTGTAGACAGAAAGACTTTTGCTAGAATTTCTAATGAATAGCTAAATATTTTTTTTTGTATAGAATTGATCTGAAATCGATTTCATGTGGATACTTAATTATTTATACTACCTTCTACCATTATTTTCGGACTTCGTTTAATTATTCATTATAGGAATGTCCTTGATGCATTTATTGCATTTCCGTTGGCATTCAACTACCTATCAGGTTTATTCCGGTTCATTCACTCTGTCATAAATTTACGTTAAAATTACACCTATTGATGTTTCGTCCACTGTTCACTTGATTGAAACTAGAACCATCTAGATCCTTAGAACTCCAATTCTTATTCATCACTTTAGATCGAGGATTAACTATTTGATAACAAGTCTCAATTAACTGAAGTAGGTACCGAGGTAGGTAGACAGTCACTACTTATGTTGATCTTGTCTAGGTAACCACCCAACTACTTAGTTTTTTAATGAAAATGTCTAAATTTGTTAGTATTTAGATATAAACCGAACGGTTCAGTACGTAAAAGAAATCTAAACCGAACCAACCCAAGTACCTACCTAACAAATTACCGCAAATTACCTATGGTGGCAATACCTACAAACGCCCAAGGAATACCTATAAGAAGTATGAAATTGGATTTTTGATAAGTAGCAGCAAAAAGTAGGAAGTTACCCACTGTCATTAGGGTAATATTATAATGTCGAACGACTATTATTGTACTAGTAGGTATGTATGTAAGGTTATTATCAATATCCATGTATAATACCAGCTTATGTATAAACATAAGAGTTTTTATAGTAGGAATTAAGGTACCTACTAATTATTAATCATTATTATAATGTCGAATGCTCGGTCGAATTACTATTATAGTAGTATGTACGGTTATAATCAATCTCCATGTATATTACCTACCAAGGTATAAACGAGAGTATAAAACTAGGAATTTTTACGTCACAGTATAATAGGTAGGCAGGTATTTTGAAACCGAGGGGTGATAAACGTGATGATAAAATTCAATGAAATAGGTATTTGGACTAGAACGTTTGTAGTAGTAGCTGCAAACCAGAGTGAAAACATGAATGTCAATAATCGTTGAAAATAAGTACCAGTATTCCTCGAGTACAATATCCAGAGATGTCACTAACAAAATCACTTCACAAAAAAATAAACAAATGAATTCGACCTACCTGAGTGGCGTCAGAGTAGGGTGTCGAAGAGTTTTTATCTACCATTTGCGAACCGAAAAGTTTGTGGCTAGGACTGTCAGATCTGGATGCGTCCATGATGTTTTGCGGCACCATATCCAAAACAACGAAACAGTCACTCCGCGTTCACGGAAATCCCTCGGAAAATTCTGGAAAATCTTTCAAGTTCTCAAGTGCATCAGCTACCAGCACTCGACTAAGCTTAGCATCGTCGACGTGTTCGCGGCTTCGACGTTCAGAGCAAACTAACAAGTCCAAGTTGCTGTTTAGAGTTTGTATCTCTTCTCAGCTGTTCTTCCCCCTCTCTCGTCGCCAGGTGGGGAGTGCGCGTGCGTCAATGCAGGGCCAGTGCTGGGCCACCAGCTGACGACTGACACTTGTAAGCTGTTATATCCGGCTGCCCGGTCGAGATTATAACCGGAACTTTGGCTAGAATTTACCCCAAAACACTCAGTTCTTCGAGTTGTCACGACTAGGTTGAATTTCTAATTCGAAATTTTCGACTCTTTTTCTATCGAAAATCTAAACTCTCTCTCTCCCCCTCAAAGCCCTGCAAACTTCGCCTTGTCTCAGCTTCACTAACTGTCAAGAAACATCAAGCGCAATTGTGTGCAATTTACGTAAAAAACTGTTGTTGCACTTAGCGCAGTATCACACGACCACTCATCTGTAACGTTGGACATAAACTGATGAAAATCGACGATCGACTCGGACTTGGCCTGTGTTGGAACTCTGCTCGCTAGATAGTGAATCGCTCCCCACCTAGCGGCGTTTAGTTCGGGCTGTGACCACCGAGGCAGCACCTTACAGACACGGCGATGTTTGTTTCGTTTGAGACTGGAATACATAATAAATACTGGTGCAGCTGTTTTGCATCCGTTGAATATAAATACGAAAGGAAGGTGAGAAATGAGTTTCTTGTCTCGGAGATACATGAGTTGAATAAATCTTGAAATTCACATTGGTTCTTGTCCTATACAGAACGAAAATACTAGGTGAAAATGAAAAATCACTATACATATTGCAAGAATTTCTTTCGCTATAGCGCCAATGAAAGTTTCTGCTAATGCTTTAATCCATTTCTTTTAAAACACCAATCAGGATTCTAATTTATTGAGAACAATCTCGGTATTTCGGAAGAAAGCTTCTTTAGTTGTGAAGAAATTTATTTTTTCAGATATTTCTCTACATGTCAAAGAATGTTTTGATCGATTCTCCAGGGAGTTGTCTTGAATGAATTTCCTTTAAGCAATGTCACCCTGAAAAAAAACAAAATGAATTGAAATCAGTCTCAAATATTACACATATCCATACTTGGTTCATCTGGAATATATAAAATATCATCCTTGATTGATGATATTATGAAGCCTTTTATCGCTATATGTAGAACTGCTTCAGGATGTCAGTACCAATAATTATTTGAGTTAGGATTCTCTACAAAGAATTGATGCCTTCAGTACGGATGTTTTATAAATTGTTCATGATGTATTGGAATTTTTCTGAGAACATCCAGCTTGAGTTTTCGAAAGTATCTTCCAGGCGTTTCCTGTCTTTCATGAGTTTTCTATCAAGCAATGTCAACCTGAAACAGAATAAAATAGTTGATCTCGTGTCTTCTGTCTGATTGTCTGACGAATGAATCTTGGATTGAATATTAAGTTATATTATTATATAGATACTCACCATAAAAAATCGAAACAATTCACACTATACTTTTTATAACTGCTGATGTCTTCACAACACAAACTGCGAAACACAAATGAGGACTTGAGGAGTGCCAGGATCAATCGATCTAAAAATAGCAGATTTGCCCTGACTGGATGGAAATGACATAATGTCCCAAACGTTTCTTTAAATGGAACAAAAATGTTTACACACAGAATATTCTTTCAGCATAATCACTTCGTGCAAAGTTCTTTCATTATTATAAAATAGTCGTAAATTTATGAAATATTTATTTTTCGGTAATTCTTGAGAAATATTTCATTCTTCCGAAAACAAAATCAGGTGCTAGTATAGAAATCTCACGAAAAAATGGCACAGAATAAACAATGATATTAACATCATTTTCTTCATTTTTATATATCGAAGAACATTTTGTGAATGATATAAAATTGATTTCGGAACGAAAACACACACTAACAGAAATTATATCTAACATTAACAAAAATTATGTAAAATTCTTTATTTTTCGTGATGATTTGTATGTTAATGATGAAGAAATTTTGTTAAATTGAAAATATTTTGCTAAATTCGTTACAAAACCCATTCTGTTAATAATATGAAGCCTTTTCTTTCTGTCTATGGGTGTACGGAAAAAACTCAATTTTGAGTAATAAAAGTTGTGAGGAATGGTATATATACTAGGCGTTGGGCCACTTCGTAGATGTTCTTCCTCTTGAAAGTCATCAGAATTGGGTTTTCACTTGTTATTATCAAACTTTCTCATTGGTCATTAGCATTTCTATCATTCTAATGAAATTTGCGTCACATCATGATTCACATAAAAACTGGGACAAGTGTGTGTATACCTAAGTTGTACAGTCATTTAACTCAAGATTTTGACCGTTTATTAATAATTCAAGTCATATAACACATAATCTCTGCACATCAGAAGCTTCAAACCATAAACATTTCTTAGGTATATAGGTGTACTTGTCCTGATTATTCAACGTCTCCTCGGAAATCAAATTGACGGGCGCAAAAATAGTGCCTTCGCCAAAATTTTAAAAGAATTATGAATACTAATTTCTGTGCTGCTATGCTGGTACACAAAGCTATTCTTTTCTGGTTTTGATAACACAATGAGGTAAATTGTATGTCTTCAATTTCATTTCCTCACCTTATGACGTCCCTCATGGAATGTCAAAAAAACAAAAAGTTATTCTCGTAGTTTCTAAGAAATCATTTATTCTGATTTTACTAAAAGATATAGACCAAATTGAATTCGACATTTTTGCAGAAACTTTCCCTTCTCTACAAGATGCTGCCATCAGATTTTCAATCCGACGTTTCGTTTCGTCGTAACCATCATCAAATAACACTGATGATGATTATTTAGAGTTTTATGTCATTGAATTTAGAATTAGAATTAAAATTTTTCAAAGACAGGAGACAGACAATTTTGTTTTGACTATGTAATAAAACAAAGTTGATGATAACTCCTCGATAACGAAACGTCGGATCAAAAATTCCATAATACCATTGGATAGAACGAAAAGAATGGCAACAACAATATAGAACTTATTAAGAAATATCAATCAGATTAAGTCAGAAAAAAGAAAAGAAAACAAAAGCTCGGATATTCGGTTTGTTTCCAAATATTTTCGGAAGTATTCCGAACATTTGAGGCGGCATTTTGATCAGCATTATACATTGCAAGATTTTGCCCTAATTCAACCGAATTTGTATCTGTTATATGATGGTCATCGAGATTCCAATGATACCCCTCGAATTTGGGACTCCCTGTATAGCTCGGATTAGAAAAAAGGGCTTTGTTGATATCTTGGTATATATATGTAACTATTGGACTTTGAATCGTCTTTTTACATTACGCTACACATATTCCTCTCCTAAGGTTACCAACATATTGTGAGTCAAAAATTTGCATAATATATCATGAATGAATCAAAAGGTATAACAATAAAATGATATTGTATAATATACCTACTTACCGTAAATGTAAATTTCACTTCATCGGAGACATATTGCTTGAAATGAAAATAAACCAAAAAAACAATAAAACAGGATGAACGAATTCACCGGTCAAATTTCGGATATCTACATGCAATATGGCATGGAAAATCTAGAAGTATTTGATAAAATAAGCATCATTATGGAAATTTTGAACTATTGATTCGAAAACGATCTTCACTCCTGATGCTCTATTGATGACACATCGAAATCATTCCTTGTATAAACCCCATCAACTTTAGATTTGCGTGATATAGAGCCGAACCATTATAAACATTTTGTGTAGTTGTTATCGCCCAAACAGCGAATTATCATTTTCAGTAATACATAGTATTTTTGTAGCGATGACCTATTTTCAATATTTTTCGCGAAAATAAGATATCACGGAAATCATTTGAATTTTCACGCTTCGTGATCTCCAAGGTATGCGAAAACCATGTCGAAAACTTTAAAAACCCATAAATTTGTTAGTATCATCAGTTTTAACGACGTTGTTTTCGACAATTCATCACTTCGATTTCAATAATCGAGAGGAATTAGCATAGGTTAACGAATGTTCAGGTATCGAATATTCACCTCTCTGTATTATAAATACCTAATCACTTCAGATAATGAATGCATTCTTCAGAGGTTTCGGTCACACACCATATCGTATAGGAATCGAATTAACCTGTACCCAAGGAACCTTGATTCCAAAAACATTAACTCTAAGTGCCAGTGGTGGAATCAATCTGAAAAAACATTTGTATCAAGCATAATAATATGCCAGGCCAAACTCACTTATCCTTTTTTTATTGCTTGAAGCGCACGTAAAGAAGTCAGCGACCTTTCATCATCACTTTTTCATAGATATTAATACCAGTCAGACGAAGTAGACAAGTCAAGCCAGCACATTCTTTCGTTATCAACCTTGAAATCAGTAGAACAACACTTTAACAAAACTCGGTCGTCAATTGAACGAAAAAGCTTTGGAGTTCATCGAGAATGAGAGTATTCACAAGAACTCATGACCCCATGAAGTTTAAAAAATCCAATACCTATACCTCCTCTCTCTTTTTTCCGTAGGTTCGCAAGATGTTCTCTGAACATTATAGAGATTACCATCATGTGCTCCAAGAGATGAAAATAGATATTGCAAAAAATAAAGAAACTGAGATGATAGTATATTTTGCGCGGCAGAGCAGAGCGAGTATTTAGAAGAGTTTATAAACGCGTTACATACTATACTTTTTCTACGAACTCATAATTTCTCTCTTCGACAAGCTCCCATAATTCCAAAAATTAGCCTAACCTACCTACTAACCTACAAAATAATTTGAAGGGAATGAGAATTGAGAACATAATACAACATAACACTATGCGAAGTATGGAACCAACGAGACATACGTATAAGTCATATCGGTAGTATGTGTCCATAGTTCACTGGATACATAGATACCTATTGAAATATCTTGCAGTTGACAGTTTTCATATGGCATAGCGTATAGAAAATAATATTCCTTCGATTTGCCGAGGTGTAAAAGTATTCGAATTCTAGAATAAATTGCGCACAAAGATGATGAGAGCTTCATTTTTATAGAGAGTTCTTGGAAATGTGCAAGTATGAAACATTCTCTACGATTTCATTTTTACTTTTGTAAATATTTTGATACAAACAAATATTGTTTGAATAATAATTCGAAAATGGCAGTGGCAATCTGAAAACGACTGAAATTGTGTTTAAAATCTGTGTTGCCATGGTAATGTGTGTAAGAAACTGTGTTGCCATAGTATAACGTGTTTAATTTTTTGAATATTTCACAGATTGTCAATCTGTGATTAGTCAATCATATATAGGGTGGCACATATCCGTACGATAAATGACACTTGAGTTGTGTGAAAAGAAAAAAGTATGTAAAAATCTTCCAAATATCTCATTGACAATGAATGTTGTCGAAGTTTTCTCTTCAAAATTCTATAAGTTAGCGATGTCAATATTTCAATAAATTTTTCGTTAGTTTGGTTATTATCGAACGCCATATGGTTCTACTATTCATCTACCTATATTCAAATCATTTTTAGGCATACAGGGTGTCTCATGAAAATACGCTGCCGCTCAGAGTTAGGTA